AGGAGAGAGGATACTGAGATGACGTGTTTTCTGAAGATAAAATCCAGCTTGAGTAAAACTGTAGAAACTCCAGTTGCCAAGACAAACCCTGCCTCGGTGCCACTGTCAACATTATTCTCTCTGTTCATGTAAAGCGGAGGGAACTGCAGTGAGAAAGCTTCTCCTATCTCCAATCTGTCGACCATGGATTCGTAACATCATTTCTCGGGACGGGAGAGACACATTATAGTATAAGTGGCATGTCTTTATGATAAACCTCTTCTCATATTTTAAAATCTGAATACAAAATGCTATTCGTGCTCATGATATAAAAATAAGAACCAATATGTGCTTACCCTTCCAGCGAGACGAGCGAGACCACAACAAACATTGGTTCCCGCTTTTATATCAAGAGCAGATGGTTCCTAAAACGTTCCTGCATGTTTTCACAAACTAGACACTGGTACCAAGTTACACAAATTAAAATAATAATATAATGTAACCTTTAAGTTTCTTACATTTGTATGAATATATTCAATGCGCATATTATTCTTCAAACTGTAAACTGTTTAACTAAAATAGACAATTAAAATAGTTGTATGAGAATAACCTGAAAATGAAGTAGTATTTGTATGTACTTTTCCTATGATCACATACCGGTCTCTGTGTGCAGAGAGTGCAGACGTGTTTATTAGTTTGTGCACTTTGTTCACAGAAACTGCAGCAGAAGCAGATTAAACCGGGGGATTTGGAAAGAGCTGATAATATACGTTAGTCACAAAGTGAGGACAGTTCCTGTTTCTTGCAGCGATAGAGAAAAGAGGTTCATCTCAACAGGAGAGCGACAGAAAGCAGCAGTAAGATACATGTATTTAATAAAGTAGAAGCATGTGTTCTTACCTTTAAATAGTTCAGGCTGCAGAGACCTCAGTGCTGACAGGTCTGTTTTGTTTTCATGTCCGATTACAACAGGAGTAGTTCACATGGCTCTGGTTCACAGCTAGAGACAGAGGGGGCGTTTCCACTATGAACGGCAGATCGGTGAGCAGTAGCCAATGATATTTAAACGTCCTGTTGTGAATCCTGTGAGTATCTTAAACCAGTAAATGGAAGATTGTTTGCGAGGCGTTTATACGTTTTGCTTTTTACTTTACTAAATTCTGTTCTGTTCTTCCTTGTAAAGCGACCTTGGGTATGAAAGGCGCTATAGAAATCCAAGTTATTATTAAATGGTCAAATTGTCATTGGAGCGAGGAGCGGGGTGAAACTCACGGAAGAATAACATAATTCATTTCTTAAATAAAATAAATAAATACTTTGTTTCATGTCAAAATAAAATGGTTAAAATATTGCATGATTTAATACAGTTTTGTTTTATATGTTACACCAATGTGCCGAAGTGTTTGTGGGTTTTTGTGTCTTCATTTTGGCCAGGAGTCAGGACAGTGAAAATGGGTCATGGAGGGGTCTTCCAGCAGGACAATGACCCTGCACATACGGCCAAGGCAACACAGGAGTGGCTAAAGAAGAAGCTCATTCGGTGATGGAGGGGGCTAGCCAGGATTCAGAGAGGAGTAAGAATATTCTTTCTCTCACTGTTAAAATAAACCTACCATTACAATTATAGATTGTTATTTTCTTTGTTATGCTACGTTCACACCGGACGTGATGCGAATATTCGCTTCGCTCTCAACGCTCGAGTTTCACCGCGGCTTACAGTTTGTTATATCGCGTAATTCAAAACAGACAGTTGAGGTTGTTTACACGTCCATGCAAGATCGTTTTGGTTATTTCTGTCCTTGACTATGGAGGAACAACTATTGCTGCTTTGTACCTTCTGTGGAAGTGTATCGTATATCTCAGGGAACCCACTCACAGCCACAACGATCATCTCTTCCATCTTTACAACTGATCAACAGCAGGACGTCAGAGGGACGTCAGAAGGAATCCCAACGCTGATTGGCTTCCGCGAGAATACGTCACGTGAATTTGACGCTCGAGTTGAAAAAATTGAACTCTCGCGTTTGACGCAGCCCCCTTCTATCGCCTCAATTGATTGATTGATTGATTGATTGAAAGGTTTATTAACAGCTTCTATATTGGGTACAGTACAGCTCAAAACATACAATTGTTAAGGGGATGCAGACCAGAGAAAGACTTTCGTCTTGTTTACATCAGGGTCCCCCATTTCCAATTCATCATATCAATCGCGTGATTCGCGCCGCGTCCGCCGCTTCATGCTCGCCGTCGGAGTGAATTAGCGTCTGTCCGCGTCTCTGCATTGACTTTACATGTAATCGCGCCGCCCCCAAACATCGCATCGCATCCGGTGTGAACGCAGCATAAGTGGGCAAACTTACAAAATCTGCAAGGGATCAAATAATTATTTCCTCCACTGTATTTATTGGAAACATTCCTGTTCCCACATGCATTTCACTCCAAACATGCACTTCTCCTTCCGTCCACCAGATGGCATCAGTCTGTAACTTTTCACATGCTCACCCTTTTCCCTTTATCCAATCACCCCACAGTATTTAACCAGCCCACCTCCACCTTGCACCATAATCAATGAAGCATCATGTATTTGCTTTCAACATATCACACACACAGACACACACACACACACACACACACACACACACACACACACACACACACACACACACACACACACACACACACACACACACACACACACACACACACACACACACACACACACACACACACACACACACACACACACACACACACACACACAGAGAGTGTGTAAAATAGACACTGACCTGTCCTTCATCAGGAAGAAGTAGAAACTGAGCTCTGTGGTTATATTCACAGTGGATTCAATGAGTCTGTAGCTGCAGTGGAAGAAGTGTTCATATACTTAAAGTAAAAGTACCAATACATTATTGTCAAAATACTTAATTACAAGTTAAAGTCCTGCATTCAAAGTCTTACTTGTATAATACACAAGTATTATCAGCTAAATGTACCTAAAGTATTGCAAGTAAAAGTAATCGTCTATCAAGTAGCATTTTATAATTTCTCATTTTTGAAATTGATGTTTTCAAATCTTTTCATATTCCTCACATTTTCCTCATTGTAATTGGATATTATGTTCCTGCTTTAGTGGTTTTAAGTCCATCAAACACTGAACCATGTATCCTTAAAAAGTAACTTTTCATGAGTTTCTCAGAAAAACTGTGTTCAGATTTGATCCAAGAGGCTTTTTAGAGACTGTATTGAAGGTTCACAAGGCGGAGACGTTGCTCAACACATACACTAAATCTCCCTCTTAGCCAGAAACAACTGCAGAGGAATCTCGCTTTCCTTCATGTCTTGATACTGAGCCAAGAAACGTCTGTTTGTTCACTGAAGGGAGGGCATGTTATCATCCTCCTTGATATTTTGGTTATTCGTTGGTATTTAATTAGGCTCCCTTTTTAGAGTGCTCCCTTTGTTCGGTTGCTCACTTTAACCTGCGCCCTCGTGGCCTTTTTGTTTGTTCCAGCCCGCTTGCCTGCCATTTTGTTAACCTTTAATAAACTCTTTATAATATTTACCAATTCCAACTGGTGTATGTTGCTTTCCTCATCTCCTAGTGGGGACGTAGCAGCCACACACACTTCTCACTGTCTCCTCACAGGAACTACAGGACTGAGCGCAAACTGTTGAACCACATGTTTGAGGTTATTCTTTGGAAATTGTATATCGTCATCTCAGTAGTGCAGCATCCTACCAGAGTAAATATAGGTGATACATGAGAAGAAGAAGAACACTCTTTTGGGGGACCACAAAGTAACAGAAGCAGTCATATGAAACTGTATACAGATCATTCGCGGTTTGTGACTTCAGGAAACACAATAACATCTTTCTCAGCTCAGAAAGTGGAACTGTGGATTCACTAAATCAAGTGTAGTGCTTTAATAGTGCTATGTTCGTCTGAGTTATCTCATTAATAAATGTATTTGTTGACTTTGAGATCGTAGCCTTTCATTCTTGGACATAGCAGTTGATCAAACTGATATATAAACGAGGGTCTTACAGTCCACTAGTCAGACAGGACTCGCACTTGACTTTTAAGAAACATATTAAGAAAGTATCAAATACCATTAAATTCAACTTGCAACATTTTAAACAAATTAGTCCTTTCTTAACTGTCAATGCTGCAAAGTCAGACCTCCACTGATTCTATCCCACATTGAATACTGTTTGACAAACTGGTCGTTTGCTTGAGCCACAAACCTGAAACCCATAGAACAGCTGTTCAAGAGAGCTATCAAGGTGTTTGACAGAAAGCCTCATTCATACCACCACTGTACCATCCTGGAGAAACACCATTTCTTGAGTTTTGACCATTTTAAGTTTTTTAAAAGTATGTGTTTTATTTATAAATGTTTACATGGACTGCCCCCCCCCCCCCTCACTTAGGGGGGAAAAAAACCACGGCAGCGGTTGAGTCACCTGCAATGACTGAAGGTCTGACGATGTGCTGTGATTGGCTTTGAATAGAGACGACAGTGAGCGTAGTCAAATGGAAATGTGTGAATGACAGATTAGAAAGACCGTCTTCCTGCTGAGCTTGCACTGAGCTTCATGTGTTGAGAAGCTTCTCCTCCTTGTTAACCTTGAAACGCCTCTTGGATCAGCCTCGTCACAAATCTGAATTGGCTCATGATAGGCCCCTGATCTCCGTAGGCCCCTGGGCTTCAGCCCAGGTCAGCCCGTGCATTAAGGTGGCCTTACATTCACTTTTATAATAACAATATTAACAATAGATTATTTGTATTATTACTGTTATTATTCAGAGAGATTCTGAAACTAAACTGAAGGGGTTCAGTTGGTCCTGTATTTCAGTCTGTGTTCTCTGATCTCACAGCAGAAAGTATTTCCTGATTCAGTTCAGATTAAATATAATGTTGATATCTGGCGCCACCTAGAGTCAGACATGTGTTACTGTTCCTGGTGTCAGACCTCTGTGCAATAATAATAGTCGTGTGTGTGTGTGTGTGTGTGTGTGTGTGTGTGTGTGTGTGTGTGTGTGTGTGTGTGTGTGTGTGTGTGTGTGTGTGTGTGTGTGTGTCCTCTCACAGGGAGAAGATGATCTTCCTCATCCTGCTGCTCCTCTTCCTCACCCCCTGTGTCTCTGGTTAGTGTACTCCTTTATTTCCCACTTAGACACATTGAATATTATTGAAAAACCTTTTGTGTCTCGTTGTACCTTTTCCTAAAGAAGCATCTTAGAGCTCTTTGGTGTGGAACACTATTAGAGCAAGAAAAGAGGGTCAACACTGAGGAGGGGGATTCTGATTTATTTAGCTTTTTTAAATCAAAATGTCAAGAAGTGGAGCTTTCAGTATATTCTCTGACAAAAGTAGTTTATTCTTAAAAGTTCAATGTTTATTCTCAATCATTACACTTTTAAAGCTTAACTGTTTTTTCTGATACATGTTTCCTAATAACTGCCCTCAAATTGAAAGATTTTATTTTACTCAAAATCTTGGCTTTTTCTTAAAATGCTGAATAAAAAAGTAAAATAGTCCTTTTCTTCTTTATGTTCCCTCATACCCTAAAACTCTTCCTCACCTGAGGAGACCTCTGTCTCTGGTCAGCTTCAGTTAGTTTATTTAAAGAGTCCCTCTGTGTCTCCTCCACAGGAACATAGATGCAGTTTAAAGAGTCCCTCTGTGTCTCCTCCACATGAACATAGCTGCAGTTTAAAGAGTCCCTCTGTGTCTCCTCCACAGGAACATAGCTGCAGTTTAAAGAGTCCCTCTGTGTCTTCTCCACAGGAACATAGCTTCAGTTTACAGAGTCCCTCTGTGTCTCCTCCACAGGAACATAGCTGCAGTTTAAAGAGTCCCTCTGTGTCTTCTCCACAGGAACATAGCTGCAGTTTAAAGAGTCCCTCTGTGTCTCCTCCAAAGGAACATAGCTGCAGTTTAAAGAGTCCCTCTGTGTCTCCTCCACAGGAACATAGCTGCATTTTAAAGAGTCCCTCTGTGTCTCCTCCACAGGAACATAGCTGCAGTTTAAAGAGTCCCTCTGTGTCTCATCCACGGGAACATAGCTGCAGTTTAAAGAGTCCCTCTGTGTCTCATCCACAGGAACATAGCTGCAGTTTAAAGAGTCCCTCTGTGTCTCCTCTACATGAACGTAGCTGCAGTTTAAAGAGTCCCTCTGTGTCTCCTCCACATGAACATAGCTGCAGTTTAAAGAGTCTCTCTGTGTCTCCTCCACAGGAACATAGCTGCAGTTTAAAGAGTCCCTCTGTGTCTCCTCCACAGGAACATAGCTGCAGTTTAAAGAGTCCCTCTGTGTCTCATCCACGGGAACATAGCTGCAGTTTAAAGAGTCCCTCTGTGTCTCATCCACAGGAACATAGCTGCAGTTTAAAGAGTCCCTCTGTGTCTCCTCCACAGGAACATAGCTGCAGTTTAAATCAATCAATCAATCAATGAATGTTTATTTATATAGCCCAATATCACAAATGTTACATTTGTCTCAGTGGACTTTACAGTTTGTACAAAATATCAGTATGACAATACGACACCCTCTGTCCTTAGACCCTCACATCGTACAAGGAAAAACTTCCGGAGAAAACCCACAGTTTAAAGGGGAAAATGGGAGAAACCTCAGGGAGAGCAACAGAGGAGGGATCCCTCTCCCAGGACGGACAGCCGTGCAATAGATGCCGTGTGTAAATTGAAAAGATAATACATTTGCAACATAGGTAGTCCAAATGTTTGGAAATGCATGTGTGTATAATAGTAAGATGAATCCACGAGGATATCCATCCAGGACCTATGATCCAGGACCACAGCCACGACTCAAGATCCAGGGCTCGCGATCCAGGACAGAGGAGCGCAGGATCATCCATGACTCCGGATCCCGGCGTTTATAGACACCAAAAAGAAAGACATTTGGGGAAGCTGGGTTAATCGGAACATGAGAGTACACAGGTATAGACAGAGAGAAGGAAGAAGTAAGATGTCCCCCGACAAACTAAGCCTATATCAGCAAAACTAGGGGCTGGATCTAATCAGCCCTAACTATAAGCTTTATCAAAAAGGAAGGTCTTAAGCGCACTCTTAAAAACGGATAGGGTGTCTGCCGCCCGAACACAAACTGGAAGCTGATTCCACAAATGTGGAGCTTGATAAGAAAAGGCTCTGGCTCCCATTGTACTTTTAGAGACTCTAGGAACAACCAACAACCCTGCATTCTTGGAACGCAATGCCCTAGTAGGACAGTAGGGTATAATGAGTTCTTTAAGGTAAGATGGCGCCTGCCCATTAAGGGCTTTGTAGGCGAGAAGAAGAATTTTAAATTCTATCCTGTGTTCTATAGGGAGCCAGTGTAAGGCAGCCAGAACAGGAGTAATGTGGTCCCTTTTCCTAACTCTGGTTAGTACACGAGCCGCAGCATTTTGAATCAGCTGAAGCGACTTGACTGACTTCTTGGTACACCCTGATAATAAAGAGTTACAATAATCTAGCCTTGAAGTAACAAATGCATGGACTAGTTTCTCTGCATCGTTTTGAGGCAAGATATGCCTGATTTTTGCAATGTTACGTAGATGGAAGTAGGCGGTCCTTGAAATTGATTTTATGTGGGCGTTAAAGGATAAATCCTGATCAAATATAACACCAAGATTCCTTACAGTCTCACTGGAGGCCAAATTAATGCCATCCATAGTTAGTATATCCTTAGATAATTTGTTTCGTTGCTTAGTTTAAAGAGTCCCTCTGTGTCTCCTCCACATGAACATAGCTGCAGTTTAAATAGTCCCTATGTGTCCCCTCCACAGAAACCTAGCTGCAGTTTAAAGAGTCCCTCTGTGTCTCCTCCACAGGAACATAGCTGCAGTTTCAAGAGTCCCTCTGTGTCTCCTCCACAGGAACATAGCTGCAGTTTAAAGAGTCCCTTTGTGTCTCCTCCACAGGAACATGGCTGCAGTTTATAGAGTCCCTCTGTGTCTCCTCCACAGGAACATGGCTGCAGTTTAAAGAGTCCCTCTGTGTCTCCTCCACAGGAACATTTGTAGTGAATGTGACTCAGACTTCCTATCAGGCAGAGGAGAACCAAAACATCACCTTGGAGGGGACCTTCAGCTCCAGAACAGACACTTCTCTCAGATCCATTTCTACCTTCTGTCAGCTTTATACATATATCAGACCCTACGTCCTGTTTCATCTCCATCAAGATGTTGAATCCCCAGAGTCTCAGGATCCACAGTTTGCAGGACGAGTCCAGTGGGACAAAGACGTCCTCCCAGAAGGACGCCTCACACTTCATGTCTCCAGACTCAGGACCAATGACTCTGGGTTTTATGTGTGTGACATCCTCGTCAGACCTGATGGGACTAACTCTAGGAGATGCTGGCTCAACGTCACTGGTGAGTAACCTCAGTAGAAGTCTAGAGGCTCCATAGAGCCAATACTAATGACAAGATGCTGATTTATAAAAAAAAAGAAACTAAAAATGTTCTTCAGTCTTGGGGTGAAATAAAGGAGTAAACTAACCAGAGACACAGGGGGTGAGGAAGAGGAGCTGCAGGATGAGGAAGATCATCTTTCCTAGTGAGGACACACACACACACACACACACACACACACACACACACACACACACACACACACACACACACACACACACACACACACACACACACACACACACAGGTCACAGAAAATGACAGGCTGTCTTTATCACAGCATTTATTAAAGAGCAACCAGAGGACAGTCATCGTCTGACACTAGGTGGCGCCAGATATTTAACATTGTAATTCCTTTGAACTGAATCTGGATCCACACCACTGTCGATTTACTGAAGCCAGCGAGCTGCGAGACTGATCGTGTGTGTGTGTTTTTTCAGAAGATATTGTGATGTAGGCCTACTGTTGTTCGTTCCGGTGCACGAAAAACAACACTTATAAACACTATACGTGGAGGTTAAGATTAAACACATTTATTTCCATGTCATATATTCCCCTTGTATTAAGTGAACATCCACATATACTCATTGGCCCGATGTCTGCAAGTTACTTTTCATAGATAAGAGCATTTATCCGGTCAAAACTGCCATATCAGGCGGTGCAGAAGGCACTTCTCTAGGCTTCTGAGTTATAAATCCAGCTGCCTCCTGGAGTCCTGGTGCTGCAGAGATTTCATGAAGTGTGAAGGAGGTTTTCCTTCTATAAAACAGCTGTGGGCTGCAGATAGTCTGAGATTCACGGACATGAATTCATAGATCAAAGCAGACTGGTGCACACTCTCCTGTTTTGCCGATCCGGTGCTTAAACAAATAGCTCTACCCCCTGGCTGAAATGTCCCTAAAATGAAGTTCGAGTTCGAAATATATCTCAGATAATGTCTGCACTGTAAACTTTCTCGTGTTTCTGTTCAAGCCTCTTTAGCGGCTCCGTAGAACCAGAATCAGAATGGGTTTTATTACAAAGTAGGTTAACACACACGAAGAGTTTGCTTTGGTATCTGTGGTGCATACAGATCCACAGCAAGAAGAACATGTAGTAAACTAAATACAAATAAAAAGAGGACTGTTATGGGAGACGTGACAGAAAAATCCAAAAATAAAAGTATTAACAATAAAAGCATATATTTGATACAATGTAAAAAATACACAACGTCGAAATATAGATAATTATTTAGAAAACACTATAATAACAAACCCACTACTGAATACAGCATGTACACATTATGAAGTGTGCAAAGAAGCTGCCATTTTAAATGTAAGCCTGAGTATATATGTACACATTGTTCAAGGTTATTGAAGAGAGAACAACAGAGGGACATCTGTACAAAAGAAACTAAGCTACTATAGGGCTAAATACTTAAACTTTAATATCCATTCATCAGAGTTTTCCATTTAGTGGCTTCCTTCAGCTGAAGCAGTGCTGACATTCAGCCTAGACTCGACACAACTATGAACACAGGCAACAGCTCTCCAACCACATCCTCTGCAGGGGATGTGGTTGGAGAGCTGTTTTGAGAAAAGCATCCACAGAGACTCTCACCCTGTATACATGGTCATCCCACACCAACACAGTCTCTTCATAGAGCATATTTTTCAAGTAAATCAATGAAAATAGCGCTTTTTAAATATAAAAGAAGATCACAGATATGCAGCTGAATAAATGTTAATATTATTCAATAGGGTCCGTCTCTCTTTTTTTGCTGGTTTAAGAATAATAAACCAGTATAATAGCCCCCTAAGTACCCTCTCTTTTTTCTTTGTTTACCTCTTCTCGTGATTTGTTCACTCTCATTGCCGTCTAACCACAAAGGAAACGAGTAGTGTAGGATACAGTCTAAGGCATCAATATAGCAGACAATATAATAGCAGTTTATGTTTAATATAACTTCTCTATGTTGAAATGAATTTTAGTTGTTTGTTTAACTGTTACGTCTTCCCCTGCAAACACAGTTTTTGCAGCTTATGGCTCTCCTTGTTGGCTCAAGTGCACTGCTCTCAGTGTCAGTGAAGACTTTTAAAAATGTCAATCAGGACAATATGAATTCTGTGTTTTCCACCTGAACTGAACTGACATTTTTCACAAAGCAGAAGTGCATTATGTCGACATCAGCTCTGTGTGGTTATTTTCAAACTGGTTTCGCATCCTGAACACTTCTTCCACAAGTACACTGCAGAGGTGGAAGAAGTGTTCAGATACTTCACTTCAGAAAAAGTACCAATACATTATTGTCAAAATACTTCATCACAAGTTAAAATCCTGCCTTCAAAATCTTGCTCAAGTCAAAGTACAAAAGTATTATAAACAAAATGTACTTAAAGTATATAAAGTAATCATTGTGCAGAAAAATTGCCTCTATGTGTAATTATATTAATATATGTGACATTTATAGATAATATTGCTGCATGAAGTAGCATGAGACAAACTTTTTGTAAAATATTTAAATAATTGCAGTCTTTTATAACTCAAACAGTTAGTCCACTGTTTTTAGAGATGCATTTTGTTCCAAGAAGCTAAAGCTGTTAAGTAAATGTTTTGGAGTAGAAGTATACAGTAGCATACAATGGAAATACTCAAGTAAAGTACAAGTAGGCTACGTCACATTTGTGCAGTTACTTTCCACCTCTGAGTGATCAGTCACAGCAGGAGAGTCAGTAAACAGTCGGCACTGATCTGACTGAATGTGGGTCATTCTTATTATCTCGTTATTAAAAATAACATAACATGGTGCTCTCTGAAGGCAGAAACAAATGTAAAACCCGAAAAAACAAGAATTGAAACTGAAAAAATAATTGTTTTGAATCTGAATAAGATAAGAGAATAAGGATTCAAATATCAAAATATGTATACATGTGAAAATACATATTTTATCCAAAGAAATTGCTGAACTGAATCAAAATAATATTCAACTTGAAAGATTATTTAAAATACTTATTTTTAGTTTAGCTGTTACTTCGGCATCATTTTGAAACGTGTATTACAATTAAATCACGGTAAAATATGTTCATTTTGTTGTAGTTGGTATCAAGGGCGCCGGAAGCGGGGGGGCCAGGGGGCCATTGGCCCCCCCACTTTTCAGCCCTGCCCCACATTTTCGCAGCAGCAGATGCCGCGGAAAACTGTACAAATCCCGTTTCAATAATTCCCCTCTACTCTAAAGTCGCATCTAAAACGCGATCTGATCTAGCTGTGTATATTTTGTTATTTTTGATTGTTATATTCAATCTCACTAGCTACAGGCATGTTTGAAGCTTGTAAAGGGAAGATGACAGCTGGCCTCTCACTCGCCACTCTGCTGTTCCTCAGCGCCGCTCCCCCTCCCTCCGGCTGAAATTATGAATGTAAGGTGTATAGTAATCATAGATAACACGGCAGGGTCCGTTACAGTTTGTTTTTATCTGATTTCAAATAAGCAAAGTCTTGGCTTTCAGAATATTAAACTTTTTTCGGCAAATTCAGATGATAAATAGGCCTACAACTTTGAAGCTTGTAACGGCATAATTACAAGCGGAGAACGGAGTAATTTAACGTCACTGCAGGCATAACAACAGCCGGTGTTTCCCGTGAGTGCAGTAATCCAAACGAAAATATCTTCCCTCCGTAGTGTTTTGATAATTTGCTCCGCTAATAATCAATCAGATCGATCCAGAGAAGAGGACACTTTGAAGGCATTTTTCTCAAAATGATGACTCTATAACAGTCATTATATAATGTGACATATTTAGCTTAATATTTGGAGTAGCCTACAAAGACAATCCTGATATCATTAGAAAGCTAGGAATCAAAATGTGTTTTCGGGTCAATGCGACTGATTTCGATGGAGCAGGTCACTTTGCATTAGGTAAAATAAAGCAGGCAGACATAACAGGAAGAATATGTTGGCCTACATTTTAACCCAATCAAATAGGACATTGTTACACCATTCTAATGTATCCATGTAAATTACAACCAATACAAAAGCTTAGATTTGTTTATTTGTTACGTTGTTTACTTTATTTGTTACGTTGTTCTGTGTGTGTCAGTCGTTAACCTAGAGATAGAAAGAATATATACACTTGCAAACATGTCAGAAGAACCAGCGCAGAAGAAAACTAAATACAGTCAATCTAAACTTACATTTAACAACTGGAAGGTCACATCCCTGACATCCACATCTCCGGAGCCTGGACCTTCATCAGCGAAGCCAGATGAACGACGTCGTCTGCTGCCTCTTTTTTTTTTAAATTCACAAATAGAATTAAGGTTTCACAAATCTCAAACCGTGTTATAAAGAATCTTTAGAGTCTCTGGGATAATCCAGTCCAAATAAATCGGCTATGCAGCGATTTAAGAGGTTCAAACACGGAGGATTGTTAGCTCAGCGCTGTCAATTAAATGTCCCTTAACTTTCCCCTTAACTGCCGAATCGGATGCTCTGAATCGGAAGCCAACTTCAGCGTCGTAAGCAGCAGCTCTGCGGCCGCAGAAACTGTCAAAACCGCCGCCCGCCGTTGTTGAACCGAAACAGGCTGGTTCCGACTGCATGGAGGTTTGTTGTCGGGACAATGAGGCGGGTAAAGCATACTTGCCAACCTGGAGACCTCAGAAATCGGGAGCATTTCAAAACCACCGGGAGGGGTGCTAGTGGATCGCCGGAGCTGGATTAACATTAACATGCTTATTGTAGTTGTAAGGGCACTGCCTTGCGGCCTGTAGCACCATCCTGTATGGAGCATATGTGAAGGACAGGAGTGAGCAGAGTTGTCAATTATTGTTCTGTTTTCTGTGACTATTTTCCCCACCCTCTCAGACTTTGAGTTGCGCGTGCTGCTAAAGAGACGTGCTACCATGGAAACCAAACAATGGTGTAGCTGTATTAAAGTCCGAGTGGAAACAGTCCTGAGTAAATCTGATTTTGTCAGAAA